AGCAGAAAGACTGTGAGAAACTCAAGAAGTGGATGAAAAGCATCATCAACCACATATACTGGACTGCAGCTGGCTCAACCTCTGAGCCAGAGAGAATTGCAAAGTGGACAGCGATCCTGAACCATGTTCGAGATGTCCATACACATGAGGATCCTCTTTACCCCAAGTGCGAGCATGCGATCCGCAAGACAACTGACAAGAGTAAATGGCTCCAAGCAGGTATTTAATAAATATACAGGCTAAATGTCAAAACAGTAAACAGACAACTACACAGTTATTTAGTCACTTTCAGAAATTGAAATATTAAAATTAACTAATTGAATTTAAACTAACCATTCGGAGACGTCCTGCTGTAGCCGCTGAGTTGCAACTTCTTCATTCGGTGCTTCTCCATCCGGATCAGATTCTGGGTCAAACTGAAAAGCTTGAACGACTGCGTGTCTATGAGCCATTGCGATACATCCACTGTCAACGTTAGCGCATGGTACCGTGGCCGCAAGCTGGTTAAGGCCACACACCCACCCTCCACCTTGCCCCGCCTCTCTCCTCCTCATTAGCATTTAAAGCTACAGACACATAAACGGCACGTCCTAAGGAAAGCTCATTTTGGGACTTGCTCGTAGTGGCTGAAATTCTGCACCAAGGCTGAATTTCGGGAAAGAGACTTCAGATACAGTACTAGGGACCACTTAGGCCTATATAAAAGCATACAAAAAGCAGCATGTCATGGGACCTTTAAAATAGTGACTCCTTGATCATTCATATTCATCATGACAGGTAAGTTTTTCTATTTCAGACATCAATAAACTCTTTATAAAGTTATTCCTGTGACCTCCAGTAGTGCTATAAAAAGTAAAATAAAATAAAAAATAAAATATTTTACATGATAAATAATAAAATAATAAGAAACATGAATAAGAAAACATTAGAATATTGTTGTTATTTTATTTTCTTTATTTAATTACTCAATTTCTTATGCAAGAAAATCTATGAGAACTGCATAGAGTTTTTCTTGTGATCTCCAATAACTCAACAGAAAACAAAGATATTTTAAAGAATATTTTACATGAATAATAATAATAATATGTTAGAACAACAACAACAATAATAATAATGTCATTATTATTATTATATTTTATATACTAAATTTCAGAACTGCAGGAAGAGAGCATTTAAAAAAGTGCCTCCTTGATATTCGTCATGACAGGTGAGCCGAGACGAAGTCTATTTTAAACATGCACTTATGGTGTGTGCCACTTTTCTTAAATTACACATACAGTAACTGATTACTTCTATGTCCCTTTGCCTAAAAATGCAGCTATGGAGGACAGAAACTCATCTAATCTGACAGTCCCGTATCCTGCTCTGACAGCTCTGCTCAGAGCCATCTGTCCCTCCCAGCAGCACCAGCTGTTTGAGGCCAGGAAGACAATACCAGCATCATGGCTTTCTCAACTGCAAGTGAATTATTAACCTACAGGGACACAAAATCTATCTTAGCACTCAATAAGCAGGAAAAAAAA